TGCTGAACCCCAAGTTCCCTGAGAAGGTAGAGGGACGCTTTTCGGCAGCCCCCCTGGTGGACCTCAGCTTGTCGCCGCCGTCCGGGCTGGACTCGCCCAATGGCAGCAGCTCGCTGTCCCCTGAGCGCCAGGGCAATGGGGACCTGCCTGCAGTGCCCACTGGCCCGGTAAGGAGGGGATGTGTGTTCTAGAGAAAGTGTATTTCTGGGGCTGCTGTAACAAAGGACCACAAACTGGGTAGCTTAAAACAGAAATGTATTATTGTGGAAGCTAAAATCCAAAATCAAGGTGTTGACAGGGCCATGGTCTCTCCGAAGGCTCTAGGGGGAGTCCTCCCTTGCCTTTCCCAGCTTCTGGTGGCTCCAGGTGCTCCTTGCCTTCTAGCCATGTCACTCCACTCTCTGACTCTATCATCACACAGCCTCCCCCCCTCTGTGTGTCTGTGTCCAAATCTCCCTTTCTCTTTTGGAGACACTGGTCACTGGGTTTAGGGCCCCTGTCCAGTCTGACCTCTTAACTTAAATCTGCAAAGACCCTATTTCTATACAAGGTTATGCACACAGGTACCAGGGGTTGGGGCTGGGACATGTCCTCATGTGGGACACAGCTCAACCCCCAGACAGAGGGAGACCGGGGGGGTGGGGGTGGGGTTTGGGCCCACTGGCCCATGGGCAGGTGCTAACCAGCTCTGCCCCCTGCCCTCCCCCAGGACCTCCAGCCACTGCGCTACCTGGACAGCGTCCCCAGCTCCTTCCAGTTCTTCCTGCCCCTAGGCTCCGGGGGGGCCCTGCACCTGCCTGCTTCCTCATTCCTCACCCCCCCAAAGGACAAGTGCCTCTCGCCAGAGCTGCCCCTGCCCAAGCAGCTGGTGTGTCGCTGGGCCAAGGTGAGTGGGGGTTGGGAAGAGTGGGGCAGGGTACGGGGCAGGTGGCGGCCCCACTCGGGCTCAGCACACTCTTGGCCCTGCAGTGTAACCAGCCCTTTGAGCTCCTACAAGACCTGGTGGACCACGTCAATGACTACCACGTCAAGCCTGAAAAGGACGCAGGCTACTGCTGCCACTGGGAGGGCTGTGCCCGCCATGGGCGCGGCTTCAACGCCAGGTGAGGGAGGGCGAGGTGGGTGGGAAGGGGGGCCTGGGTGTCCAGCGGCTGAGCTGTCCTCCTCCTGTGCCCTCCCTGGAGCAGATACAAAATGCTCATCCACATCCGCACACACACCAACGAGAAGCCGCACCGCTGCCCCACCTGCAGCAAGAGCTTCTCCCGCCTGGAGAACCTGAAGATCCACAACCGGTCACACACAGGTGAGGGCGGGGCTGGAGTGCGGGTGCCAGGCCATCCCCGCAGCCAAGAGACAGTCGCGTACCCCAACTGTTTGGCGGTCCCTTTCTGAGTGCCACTTGCTGAGGAAGCTTCTCCCATGGGTCAGACCCTCACCACGCGCTCTTGGGACACAGACTTGTCTTCCTGTGTCACACTCGGCATTGTGTTCGTATGAACGCCGACTCATGCCACCTGTGACTGCAGTGTGTCTGCTTGCTTCTCGTGGACCCCAGCACACGATAGGGCCAGCACTGGCCAGCAGAGCCACACAGTTTATTTATTTTAAAAATATTTATTTATTTGGCTGTGCCGGGTCTTAGCTGCGGCACGCGAACTCTTAGTTGTAGCATGTGGGATCTAGTTCCCTGACCAGAGATCAAACCCGGGGCCCCTGCATTGGGAGTGTGGAGTCTTAGCCACTGGATTGCCAGGGAAGCCCCTTAATTTTAAATTTCCTAATCGCCCACATTGAAAAAAGTACAAAGAAATACACGGTGAGGTGAATTACAATGATATATTTTCTTGAACTCAATATATTCAAAATGTTGTCAATTCAATATTAAAACATCAGGGAGGGACTTCCCTGGCAGTCCAGTGGTTAAGACTGTGCTTCCAATGCAGGGGGCGCAGGTTCGATCCCTGGTCAGGGGACTAAGATCCCGAATGCCTGCGCTGTGTGGCCAAAAAACAAACAAAAACAGCACACACACATCAAGGAGACACTGAAATTCTTCATTTCCTACAAAGTCTGTGGACTCCGGTGTATATTTTACACTAGAAGCACATCTCAAAGGCTCACAGCTTCACGGGGCTCCGGCCGGCCCTGGTCAGCAGGAGCAGCCCTTTCGTAAATCTGGAGAAACTGTGTTGAGTCAGGGCCAAGGGCATCCACGCAGTGCTCACTGTGAGCCAGGCCCTAGCAGGGTCTTTAAGCAATTACCTGTGGAAGTGGTCGCTGTCATCAAAGTCTGAAGCACAGGCCTGAGGCCAAGGGCACACACAGCCAGGCCACAGGCTGGCTTCTCAGCGGCCACGACCTGCCATCCCCACTGGAGTCAGAGCTCTGCCGGTGCTGAGGACACCACCCCCCAAATCAGACAGCCCCTGCTCTCAGGGAGGTCTCGGTCTGGGGTGAGGGGCCTGGGGACTGTCGAGTGGGTGGTGGGGGGTGGGAAACTGGGCTGGGATGGCCTGGGCAGCGGGAGCCCCTCACACCGGCACTGGCGCCGCCCACAGGCGAGAAGCCCTACGTGTGCCCCTACGAGGGCTGCAACAAGCGCTACTCCAACTCCAGTGACCGCTTCAAGCACACGCGTACCCACTACGTGGACAAGCCCTACTACTGCAAGATGCCCGGCTGCCACAAGCGCTACACGGACCCCAGCTCGCTGCGCAAACATATCAAGGCCCACGGCCACTTCGTGTCGCACGAGCAGCAAGAGCTGCTGCAACTTCGCCCACCCCCCAAACCACCACTGCCCACCCCTGACGGCAGCCCCTATGTCAGCGGGGCCCAGATCATCATCCCCAACCCGGCTGCCCTCTTCGGAGGCCCCAGCCTGCCCGGCCTGCCTCTGCCCCTGGCCCCCGGCCCCCTTGACCTCAGTGCCCTAGCCTGTGGCAATGGCGGGAGCAGTGGGGGTGCAGGGGGCATGGGCCCTGGGCTGCCCGGCCCCGTCCTGCCCCTCAATCTGGCCAAGAACCCGCTGCTGCCCTCGCCCTTTGGGGCTGGCGGACTGGGCCTGCCCGTGGTCTCCCTCCTCGCTGGCTCCGCTGGCGGCAAGGCCGAGGGGGAGAAGGGGCGTGGGGCGGTGCCGGCCAGGGCCCTGGGCACAGAGGGCCGCAAGACCCCCCTGGAGAGGACTGAGAGTGGCCGCTCCCGGCCAAGTCCCGATGGCCTCCCCCTACTGCCGGGCACCGTGCTGGACCTGTCCACAGGCGTCAACTCGGCGGCCAGCAGCCCAGAGGCGCTCACTCCTGGCTGGGTGGTCATCCCGCCGGGCTCCGTGCTGCTCAAACCAGCCGTGGTGAACTGAATCCACTCAGTGGACGCCGACCACCTGTAGCCCAGCCAGCCGGCGGCTCCCAGCCCTGCCCCCCGACGAACGGAAGCTCTTCTGCGAAATAGCAATAATGTTCTCCTACCCCAGGGCCCAGTTGGCTGTGTCCCCTGGGCAGACCTAGCTCCAGATAAGCTGGGCAGCAAGGATGGTGCTAGGGCATTGCTGGCACCCCAGGCTCCCAAGGGAGGAACTGGGTCTGCCAGCTAGGGAGAGCTGTGCTCCTGGGTGCTGAGGCCTGGCTCACCTCTACCCCACCCCACCCCCTCCTCCACCTAGCCCTCAGTACCCCCGTTCCCCAACTCTAGTGCCACCCTCATCCAGTGGCCAGCCGGGCAGGTCACCCTCCCTCCCTTGCCCACCTGCCAGCCCTGTCCCAGCAGTGGGGTGGTGGGGTGGCATCTGCCCTCCTGACTAGTGCCAGGCTCCCTCCCCATCCCCTTTCATGGTGAGCTGTGAGGACCCACTGGGATTGAGGCCCCACCCCATCCTGCCTAGCCTCACTGGGCCCCTGCTCTGGGGGCTCCTGACCCCTTTCCCTCTGGTCTACCCTCCAGAGGGAGAGCAAGACAGACGCAGGCCCTGGCAAAGCCACAGGAAGAAGCCACCTTACCTTATGACAAGGTGCCTCCCAGCTTGGAGAGGGAGGCCCGCTCTGCCAGCTGCCCCTCACTGCCCACCATCTGCAGCAGCCAGCTCGCTGCCCAAGGGTCAGTCCCTCCTGTGGATTGGCTGACACTCCAGGTTGAGGGGGCTGGCTGACTACTCATCTGCCCCTTCACCACTGGGCCTCCCTCTACTTTCAGGGAGCCCTGAGTGGGGAGAGGTGCCAGGACCTGGGACCCGCCCAGCTCAGGGAATAGGTGGGGCTGGGCTTAGCCTGGCCTGGGGTGGTGCCATCCTGCACAAGGGGCTGTGGAGGCCTGCAGGGTGTTGTTAAGAGGGGAGGCTGGCTAGGCACAACCTCGGGCTGGGATGCGGCCTCTGTCCTGGGGGCACCAAGTCACAGCCAGCACAGGCGAGGGAGGGCTCCAGGCTGGTGCTGGGCACGGGAGCTTCCAGAGGCCATGGACAGAAGGACCTGGGCTTGAGGAGGGGAAGAGGGGCTGCAAAGCAGCCAAGGATGCCCTTGGGAGGGCCCCACCCCCCTGCCTGGGAAGGGGAAGCCAGACAAAAGAGCCTGGACTTGGCAACCTGGCTGCTTCCTTTGGCTTTTCTGAGCTGAGCTCCTGCCCTAGGTGTCCCTGCTCTGCTCCCCCAAGGAGGGGGCCAGAATAAGCTAAGGATGCTGGGGCTCCGTGTGCCCCAGAGCCCACACTGCTGCCCAAACCCAGGGAGCTAGGCTCTCCCACAGGCTCTGGCAGTGCAGCACATGTCTCATTCCCCGCCATGAGCCCTCACGTTCCCTCCCCATAGGGGGCCTGGTTCGGTCTGGGAGGTGCTGGCCCAGCAGTCAGGAGTTCTGTCTGGCTCCTAGGCCTGCCCTGCCCTTGGCCACAGTGACCAAGCCCTCCGTGTCACCGGCTGCAGAACAAGGGAGCTATGGGACTGCAGGGGGGTCCTTAGCAGCCCTGCAGTTTCCCTCTGAGCAGCTCTGCTGACCCTGCCCTTTCCTGGACTGCCCTTCTGTCCCAGAGGGGTCACCCTGACCCAGCCCACTGACAGGGCCCGGCAGCACTGGCTTTGCCCCTTGAAGGGGCTGTGAGCAAAGCAGGAGGGAGCTGGTCTCCTTCCCTCACGCCCCACCCAGGACCCAGGCACCCCCACCCCCACTAAGGGCCCCAGGCCTTAAGTCCCCATTGGGGTGAGGGGTTTGAGACTCAAGCCCCGGGAGCAGAGGAACAGGGCACTGGAAGGTGACATTAGCTCAGCATGTGACTCGGTGATAGACCAGGCCCGAAGGGGCCGGTGTACGTGTCGTTGTTGTCAGTTTGTTGTTGCACATTCCAGGATATCAGTATTCTAACAGGTTCTAAGTGCCTTTCTATCGTAGCTTATGTTTTTCCTCCTCTTGGCTCCATTGCTGTTAGCATAGAGTTTTAAAAAAAGAAAAGAGATAAGCTAATGACTATAACAATATATTCCTCCATGTGAGAGGAAGTTTATAAAGAAACAATAAAAGTGAGTTACAAACACGGTTTGTCTTGGATGTGCCAGGAGCTGGGCCATGCACAGGAGACCACCTCCGACCGCCTGTTCCTGGCTCTGGGGTCCCCCACCCAGACTGCAGTGCTGAGACCCTGTTCTGGGGTTTTCTCCCAACCCCGTGGGGGCCACAAGCTCTCTATCTGCTGCTGGGAGCCGGAAGGGAAGGGCGGCAGGGGGAGATGCTGAGACGGAAGGTTCTGGACAACACATCGCAGGTTCAGGTACTCATCCGCCACTGCCTGCCATGACTTTGTTGAGTGCCTTAGCTATGGGGAAGCCTGGCTCCCTGGCCTCGGTGCAATGAGAGGCTGGCAAAAGCTCCTCTTTCCCGGCCGCACCCTGGAGCTTTCCCCCCAGATTACTGAGGTGTTAGAGCCCAACCCAGGTCAGGGAAAGGCGGCCTGTGACAGAGCCCAGGGGCCTGAGCTCCATCCACCAGCAGGGTGGGCGGGGCAGACCTGAGAGCGGTGATGCTGAGGGAGGGCCTGGCATTGGGACTGCGACAGCAGGAGAGGCTGTGTCCAGTACTTGACAGAACTCAACCAGCTTCCTTAGATGAGCAGGGCCAGGCTAGCTGGCTTCTAGCCAACCTTGCCCACACTGGCCCCGCTGGGTGTCAAAGGCCCAATAACGGGCAGGCAGGTGCCACTGCTTCCCCTCCCCTGAACGCACAGCCCCACGGCTGGCGGGAAGAGCAGCCTGCCTTCTGGAATCTGGCCGTGCGCACTCAAGAAATGCAGAAAAGACATTTATTACCGAGCTATAAATTAGAGGTGGGCGGGTGGGGTGTGAGGCACCTAGAGGTCACATTTTGGGCGGCTGCTCTCGCTCTCTGTCTTCCTGGGCCTGGATTCTGAGTTCCTCCTCAAGGCGCTCCTTCGCTCGCACCACCTGGGGAGGGAGTCACAAACAAATAGGCAGGATGGCCCCTTCCCTCCCCGGGTCCAGCTCCAGCTCCCTGGACAGCAGTAGGCAGGTCAGAGGTAACAGCCTGAGCGGAATATAAACAGAGGGGTCTGGGGACGCACTGACTGAGTCTGGGAGCTGAGAGCTGGTTCCAGCACTCCACCAGCTAGCAGTCCTGGCCCTTCAAAGCCTCGGCTGCTGGGGGTACCACTGTCCAGGGTGACACAGGGCCTAGGCCAACACAGCCCCACTGGCTGGGCCACGTGGAGCTGGCAGCCCTGAGGGACTGGCAGTTCAGGGGGCTCCCTGCGCCCCAGGGACCTTTCTCCTGCCAAGCTCTGAACTGCCTGGAAATGAGGGAGGCCCAGTGAGAAGCGGCCCCGCGGCTTGCCCCACTCCCAGCACTCACCTTTGACTGCAGGTAGAAGGAACCACCCACGGATTTATCGTTCACCTTGAATAGGTGTTCGTAGTTCTGCAGAGGAGGGGAGACGGTGAGGGTCCCTGGGTTACAGAGGCGGGGGAAGCTAGGAGATGACAAAAAGGAAAGCGAAAGGGCTCGCCCCCTCCGCCGTGCTATGGCACCCGAAGCCGTTGAGGGGCGGAGAAGCTGACAGGTGCCCACTGAGGGAGGCCCACGCCTCTGCCACCGCTGCCTGTGGCCTAAACACTGACAAGTGACAGTGGCTTCTTCGAATCCCAGCTGGCCGCAGCCAGAGCCCCCGCTCCTGCCCGTTTCTGCTGCCCCCCTCCCCCCTCCCAACCCTGGTGGCCTGCCGCCCCATCCCCACTTCTGGTCTGCTTGTCTCAGAGCTGGCCTGGTGGCCTCACCTTCTGGATCTCCTCAGGGCTCAGCTTAGAGACGTTGAGAATCTGCTGTGCCTCCTGGAGGCTGAGGCCGGAGAGGTTGGAGGCGGCCGCAGACTGGTGTCCCGCGCGCCCCCGGGCGTCAGCTGCTGCCCGGCTGGCTGTGGGGACACACGGGTGAGCACTTGGCACTCAGCAGCCTGGAGCTCCCCCGGGCCTTCCACGTGGGCAGCTCACCACTGCCAGGTGGCGTGGGGGAGGAGACAAGCCAGGCCAGAGGGCATCTCTTCTCCAGGAGTGGATTTTTTGGGGGTGGGGGGTAGTAAAGTTAGGACAGGGGCAGGGGCTGGTCAAACCTGGCATCAGGTCCCCAACCTAGACCATGAGATGACCCTGTCCCTCTTTTCTCCCCTGGCCTCTACCTCCTGGATGCATCGCAAGTTGGGGAGTTTAGGTTACTATGGGGAAAAGAGTGAAGCTGCAAGCAGGGGGAGGCAGCATGGCTCTGCCCTACGGTTACCTAGGCCACCAAAGCAGACTGCCTTGGGTGACTTCTTCCCTTTCAACGCCTCTAGATTCAGGAGCCAGTACACTTTTTCTTAAAGGGTCAGAGAATAAGTATTTTAGGTTCTGCAGGCCAATTAGTCTGTGTTGCAATTACTGGACTCTGCCTCAAAAACAGCCAGAGGTATGGCTGTTCCAATAAAACTTTATTTACAAAAACAGGCGGCCAGGAGGGCCAGTGTGCCCATTTCTGGCCGGATGCTCATGCCCATCAGGTCTCCCTTTTATAGGATTGTCCCAAGATCTAGTAACTCTGCCCCCCCAGTGGGAAGTGCCCCAGGCTACCTGAGCTGCCAGAACCCCACCCCCCAGAGGGCCCTTGCATTCACAATTGGCCCAGTGCCAGGGAGGGGCCCAGAGCTACCGGGAAAATCTGAGCCAGGCAGGATCTCCCAGCCCAAGGAGACAGAGACCCAAGCTTACCTGCAAACTCCTGCTGCAGGGCCCGGGCAAAGGCCCTGCCCATCACCTGCACGCCCATCACAATGATCTGGGCCAGGTACTTGGCCTGTGAGCAAAGCAGGCACCTATTAGCAGGCTACATTCTCAGAGCCCCCAGTGATGGACCCTGGAAGTGGTGGCTGTGCGACAAGACTTCTGGATTGCTGAGGTAAGGAGGCTCAGAGCAGCAGCCATAGACCACTTCCTCCAAAGCACCCTGATAAAAAGCTCCTGCTTTGGGTGACTTCGGGTGCCCATGGAACAGCAGGCCTGTGGGGGCCTGAGAATCTCCAGAGGCAGGCGGGACTCTCCCTCGTCCTTTGGAAGAGGCGGACAGGAGCCAAGGCAAAGTGGCCTGGGAACCAGAACTCAGGGCCAGTCCCAGACCCACCATTCACTCTGCCACGACGGGCTGCTGCTTGTACTTGGCTGGTCCAACCTTTACTGGTGGGGAAACGCAGTGCCATTCTAATTCTCCCCACACTATTCAAGTCAGTTCCAATCAACACAACAAAAGACCAAAATACCCTCTACTTTCAAGGAGCAAAGCCCACTAGGTGGGCACTTAGACAAACACAGCAGGGACCAAGTGGTGAGGGAGAGCAGGCCAACCCCTGTTCCTCCACTGGCTCACTCCTTCACTCAAACCCTGCTTGACAGTTAGCACCAGGACCACAAAGATATCCAGAACCCGGCCCTGTGGGAAACCCTCCCCTGCAGCGCAGTGCGAGCGTCTTCTACCCCAAGACCGCGTGGGCCAATGCACCATGGAGACAAGTGGGGCATCTCATCAAGCATGACCAGAGGCGTGGAAAGGCACTGAAGGGACACCTCAGGAAGGACAGGGAGACTCTGGGGAGGCAATGGCACTTCTCCTGGCAGGTAGAATCTCGATGGGAAAATGGGGGCTTTCTAGGCAGGGGGACCAGGGTGAGTCCAACTGGGAGAAAGTGTAGGGGATGCCTGGGAGCAGCCAAGAGCCCAGAGGTCTTGTAAAATAGTAGGAGGTAAGAGGAGGCAGGCGGGTGAGATGGGAAACATACAGATCTTACTGTGACCAAGGATTACAAACAGACAGCACATGTGTGTGTGAGATGGTACAAACGTGGGTGCGTGGAGGACACCCGGAGAATGCTCACGGCAGGTCACCACTGCTCACATGGCACATCCAAGTGGTTTCCAACAACCAAGAATGGACTTAGCCAGGGTGCTGAGCACTGTGACAAACACATTCTATCTATTGTGCCATCTAATCCCAACAACTCAAGACACTGAAACACAGAGGGGTTTAGTGACCAACATGAGAACACACAACTAATACCTGGGGGAAGATGGGCAGAAAACCCATAGCCAGTGCTATCAGCTATCCCCAGGCTGCCCACCTCACACAGAATCCCGGGGTCTGCAGGGAGGGCGACTGAACAACATGACAAGGATCAGGACCCAACCCAGAGGCCGAAGAGGGGCTTGTTAAATTCCAGTGGAACCCCGACTCCAGAACTGGCCTTGCTGGCCTCCTAATGGGTGGAGTGGGATGCGGTTCCAGGCCATTAGCGGGGATTGATAAATTGGAAGTGGGTTTGGATTTCACAAGTGGGTGGAAATTTCATAAGCCCCGTATTTCACACCATGAAGACTCTCCAGTGATCAGAGAGGGGCGGGGCTGCAGGCGCTGCACTGAGGTGAACAGACTAAGGAGGATCTGCTTCAGATGGGAAAGTCTCACCTGGCTTCTGCCCCAACCCCCGCTTGCCTAAAGCCTCTCCCAAGTCGGGCAGGAGGCTCTGAGATGGACAGCTGGTCCTGTCTGAGGGACTGAGAGGCTGACAGGCCAGCAGGTGATTCCGAGTGTTCCCTTGGCCAGGAATTCCCACCAGGCCTCCGACCACACCTCCTTCTGCTGCCACACCTGACAGCAGCCCCATCCCACTGCCTGCACTGCCTCGTACTCAGGTGTTTACTTCTCTGCCCAGGTGGTGACTGTTGCTAAATAATGAATGTTAAGAGCTGAGGCTATAACTGGGCAGCTCCCCCACCACCCCCTGCCCATGGTTCCTGCTGCCAGAGCTCCATAGCTGCAGGGCAGGCTGGGCTTCCTGCAAAGTTTCAGAGGCTACCCCAGCCATCCAAGGGAGCTGCCTGGTCCACCCACCACAGCTACCAAGGTTCCTGCGGGAGGCATCTCCTGGGGGAGGCAGTGATGCGGAGGTTACACAGACAAGCTCTGGAATCACCTGTGTGCAAATGACAGCTGGGTGCCCTGGATAAGTTCCCCAGACTCCCTGAGCCTCAGCTTCCTCTCCTATTGTGGCTAACAATAGGGCTGTCACGGGGATTAAATGAGGTAATGCTTATAAAGTGCCTGGCTCAAACCCTGATAATATAGTAGGTGTTCAATAAATGTTGATTTTCATTTATTACTACTCTTTGTTTCCCAAAACCTAACACTGGCCAGGCACTGGAGAGTAACAAAGCTCCGCCCAACACAGCAGCTCATTTGATAGAGCCTCTGATTCCTCAGGGGAAAAAGCTGCAAAATGTGGGGTTACATTCCCAGGGAGCTGGAAGCAGCATGGAAGAGAAGTGAGAAGGCTGCTTTAGTCAGGCTGACATAACCTGGGTCCCCACTTTGCTTCTTGCCAGCTGTGTGGCCCTGGCAATCACTCAACGTCTCTGAACCTCAGTTTCTGATCTGCAAAATGGGGAGAATAATACCCCCCTTATAGGAGGGCTAAGGCCCTCAGAAGGCAAGGCATGTAAAAAGTGGACACCTGAGTAGCTCAACAGCTGCCTCTGCTTCCAGACCAGATCCTGCTTGGTGCTGAATGATCCAGAGATCAGAGGTGCAGCCAAGTTTCTCAGCTACCTACTCAATACCCAGACACCTACCAAGTGCCAGGTGGGTCAGCTGTGCTCAGAGCTGAGGATTCATGGGGAGCATAGCTGTGCCAGCTGCAGCTACCACAGGGGATGAAGACAGTTACTGGCTGAGGCCTCTCCCAGAAAGCCCTAAAACACCCCATAATCCACTGACTGATGCTCGGGCCTGAAGACCCTGGGCAAGAGCAACTGGCTAACACAGCATCCAACTCAGGCCAAGCTGTTGGTCAAGGAGCAGAGGTCAGAGCCACGAGACTCCATGCCTGGGACACTGCAGATGGCACATATGCTTTCCAGCCTGGAAAGCAACGTGGCACAATGCAGGACCCAAACCCTGCAGCTGGGGCAAAGGACCACAGGCAGTGTGGGGGGTTGGGAAGCCCCAAGGAATGTGGTTTGTCCTGTGTGAAGTGCATCAAGAAGGCAACCTGGCTTTGGACAGATAGATGTGCAAAGTTCCCTTCAAGGCACAGTTCCTTGGGCTGGTGGGTAGAGACAGCCACTGACTCACCCTCTTCTCAAGGACACATGGAGATAGAAAGGGGGTTCTCTTTACCCAGGGCCCCTGCAAACAGCTGCTGGCATCACAACTAGGCAGGAGGGAGGTCAGGACCACAACTGTCACATCTGCCATGATATGTCCAGGGCCTGGGCTGTGGCTAGCACAGTAGGTGCCCGATACATATCTGAATGAACGTGACACTTGACAGGGCTTCCAAATGCCTCCCACTCCCTCTGCTGAAGGAGGGTTCTGGCCATCCTCCCAAAACATGCACACAATACCCTACCTCTGCTGCCACTGCCAGCCAATTCAGTCTACCCCCAGCTTGGCATCCCCAGCTCTGGCTACAAATGACTTCTCTAGTTTTCTCCCCCCTCATTGCTCTCCACATCACGTACTGCAACCATACCATCTATTCCAGGATCGGCTCCTCTCCTTCTTTACTCTGAATTCATACACCGCACAGGTCACTCTTTTCAAGTGCACAATTCAGCACTTTTTAGGATATTCATAGAGCTGTATAACATTTTCATTATCCATCCCCCCAAAACTCCATACCCATTAACCCACTGAACATCCTCTCTCCTACTCCAATACTGTCTAATCCCAATATCCTTCAAGACTTAGCTAATGTCAGGCTTCCCTAGTGGCACAGTGGTTAAGAATACACCTGCCAATGCAGGGGACACGCGTTCAAGCCCTGGTCCGGGAAGATCCCACATATCCCACATGCCGCGGAGCAGCTAAGCCCGTGCACCACAACTGCTGAGCCTGCGCTCTAGAGTCCGCGAGCCACAACTACTGAGCCTGTGTGCTACAACTACTGAAGCCCACACACCTACAGCCTGTGCTCCGCAACAAGGGAAGCCACTGCAATGAGAAGTCCGCGCACCATGGCGAAGAGTAGCCCCTGCTCCCTGCAACTAGAGAAAGCCCCAAGCAATGAAGATCCAACGCAGCCAAAAATGAATAAATAAAATAAACAAATTTATATATATATATATATATATACATATATATATATAAAAGACTTAGCTCATGTCATTATTTTATTAATATTGTCCTATTTTACAGACTCGCCTGCTTTCTCCTTTAAGGTACCAACTCCTCCAGCGCCACATGCAGGAATGTGTGTGAAGGACCCAGCTGGGGTTGGGGGCGGGGTCCTCAGAAAACGGCAGTGACTATTACAAGGCAGGAATAATGTGGTTCTATGTGTAGTCTCAGGACACAGAGCAGCTGGGCTCAAAACTGGGATGAGTGACCCTGGAAAAGTCAGATGCCCTGAGTTTCATATTGTTTATCTGTAAACTGGGGACAATGAGAGCACCGACTTCTTTAGAAATAAATGGGAATCTACATAAGCCTCAGCTCAGGGCCTGGCACTTGTAAGCTCTTACCTTATCCTTAACACTATCAGTTAATAAGTGGCTTCCCAAACCCACTGCCTCAATCACTCAACAATCCTCCATCCGGGGATAGAGCTCAGGACCCTGTACTTTTAAAGGTCCCAGGTGACCTGACGCAGCCAGTGTGGCCCAGATCTGTGGGCTGGCTCTGGGTGCCAATGGTACCGCAGAAACGCTCAGTTTTCGGTGTTGCAGGGTCTGGTTCAAGTCCCAGTTCTGCCACTTCCTCGTGAAAGTCCCGGAGCCTGTTTCACCAGCTTTCAAATGGGGACGATAATAGGGCGACACCATCAACTAGCTCGGGGACCGAGCAGGGGCTCGCGGGCAGGACTCACCTCCACCTTGGGCTGCCGGCACGTGGCTGGCGCACACGGCGATCTCATCTGCTCGGTATTTCCCGGCATGCCAGACCCGCCCTGCCTTCCAGCCAGAAGGCTCTCCCTGGCCCCGAGGTCGCCAGCGCCCGCCTCAGTAACCCCCGGCTGCGACACTCCAGTCCCCGCTCCCCGCCGGGAACGCAGGTGGCACGCGGCTCCCTCAGTCCAGCCGGAGCTCCCAGCCCCGGCCCCGAAACTGCCTCCCTTCCCCTCCCCGCCTCATGCCTCACCATGGCGGCCACTGTGCTTCGGAGGCACGGGCTCCGGCTTCCCGGCCCCTCGGCCCCGGCTGAAGGGCGGCCGGCGGGTCAAAGGTCAAGGGAAGCTGAGAAGAGCGCGTGCGCTGGGCATGCGCGTTGCTTCTGAAAGGGCGGGGCGTGGGCGGAGACCTATGGCCAGTGGGCGGAGTCGGGGCGGGGCCTGTCTCAGCCTCCGGCGTTCCGGCGACCACCGGAGGCTACTGATGGGCGGTTTCAGGACCCTCTGGCCCTCCTGCTTATCCTGGGGCGGTAGGAGCAACAGAACAACACCGGTCAAATGCGGGGGGAGTTCTATTTCTTCCCTCCATTTTGCCAAAATATTTGGGACTAAAAGACATGCAATAAACATACAACACCTCACAAACAATGAGTAAGACGTCAAATTCTCACAAATATTTAGGAAAACAGGAAACTTCAAAGTAGCTTTCATTCCCGGTTCCCTGTCTGGAAAGGAGGGCTCGTCTCCCTCCTCCTTCAAGTCTTTGTTCCAATGTTACCTTCTCAGTGAGGCCACCCTGATGCCCTACCATCGCTGCAACTTGTCCTCCATTCCTTTGCTTTTCTAATACAGGCTTTATTGAGAGAGAGAATTCATACACCACACAATTTGCCCTTTTGAAATGCACAATTCAGTGCTTTTTAGTATATTCACAGAATTGTGTAACCATCACCATTAGTTCCAGAACATTTTCAGCCCAGCCTTAGCAACTCCATACCCATGAGCAGTCACTGTCCATTTCCCCCTCCCCCAGCCCCTCGTGACCACTAATCTGCCTCCTCTTCTATGGATGTCTCTTCTGGATGTTTCATAGAAATGGAATCATACTACATGCGGCCTTTTGTGTCCGTTTTTTTTTTTGTTTTTTTGGCTGCGTTGGGTCTTCGTTGCTGGGCGCAGGCTTTCTCTAGTTGCAGTGAGCAGGGGCAATTCTTGCGGTGCACAGGCTTCTCACTGAAGTGGCTTCTCTTGTTGCAGAGCATGGGCTCCAGAGCCCAGGCTCAGCAGTTGTGGTGCATGAGCTTTGTTGCTCCACACATGTGAGATCTTCCCAGACCAGGGCTCGAATCCATGTCCCCTGCATTGGCAGGCGGATTATTTTATTTTATTTTATTTTATTTTTTGCGGTATGCGGGCCTCTCACTGCTGTGGCCTCTCCCGCTACGGAGCGCAGGCTCCGAACACGCAGGCCCAGCGGCCATGGCTCATGGGCCCAGCCGCTCCACTTTATGTGGGATCTTCCCGGACCAGGGCACGAACCTGTGTCCCCTGCATCGGCCTGCAGACTCTCAACCACTGCGCCACTAGGGAAGTCCAGCAGGCAGATTCTTAACCACTGCGCCACCAGGGAAGCCCCTTGTATTTGGTTTAAACCTCCATTTTTTTTTTTTTTTTTTCCTCTCACTGTTGTGGTGTCTCCCGTTGTGGAGCACAGGCTCCGGACACGCAGGCTCAACAGCCAAGGCTCACGGGCCCAGCCGCTCCGCGGCATGTGGGATCTTCCCAGACCGGGGCATGAACCCGTGTCCCCTGCACTGGCAGGCGGTCTCTCAACCACTGCGCCACCAGGGAAGCCCCATTCTTGATCCCTCCTATTTTTTTCTGAAGCTCTTACCACATTCTATCAAATTATACCATTCATTCATCTTTATGTTTATTATCTGTTCCCTCCCACTAGAATGTGGATTCCTGGAGGGCAGGACATTGATCTCTCTCTCCACTCTTGGGAATCAGCACCTGGAAGAGTGGCTGGCACATGGAAGGCACTCAACAAACGTTTGTTGAGTGAATGAGAGTCGGGCTGCCTCCTACTATGTTCTGGACCACTACCCTTCTTTCCTTTCCTCCAACTCTCCAAATTCTTTATTCTCTCAGCACCCTGGCTGCCCTTCCTTTTGTCTGAAACGTTCTTCCCAGGGCTCTCTCCATGCCTTTGTGGCCTTCACGTCTTAGCTCTCAGCTTAAACATCGCTTCTCAGACCCTGACCACAGTCTCCTCCTGCATCCCTGTGGCTCCCTTTCACGTAGTTTATCTACTTCACAGCCCTCCTTGCACTATTTGCGAACTTGCACATGGTCCGGCTCACCCCGGCCTACTAAGACTATACTAAGTGCCTTGAGAAGCCATGTCTCTCCCGTTCATTACAGGAGCTGCCATCCAGAGCCCTGCTGGATACTAGCGTGTTGGATGAATGAATGAATTCCCAGCAGGAGCAGAGTGAGGCCTGGGACAAGCGGGAGCCCAGGGCCAAACCGACCTCACCCATACTCCTGTCCCCTTCCCCTTCTAGCCAGCCAGAGACCACAGCGGCACGAGAGGTGGCCAGCTTAGAAAAGTTTAATTGCTAAAAACATCCAGGGTACGTGCAGGCTAGTCCCTGCGGGGCTCACACCCCCTTCATTGGGCTATCAGCTCTGTGATGCCCATTCCTCCTGGCTTCAAGTTTGGGGAGCAGGGCTACTGGTCCCAGGCCCCTGAGGCTGGTGCTGCTCCAAACGGCCTGGTGGAGGGCCAGCCCCCTAGGCCCTTGACCAGAACTGGAGCAGCAGGCAAGATAGGACGGCATGTGATAACTGAAGGTGCTGGGTGAAGCCAGCCCAAGCTGGGACCAGCCCAGGTCAGAGTAAAGGGGACAGGGAGCCCAGCGGCTGCCCAGGGACATGCCACTGAGCCCTCACGCCCACCCCACCCCCATGCCCCTGGCTCCACATGCTAGCAGGCAGCTGAGGAGAAGCAGCTGGTCCCAGAAAATGCAGAGATGCAGACAATCCATGGGGGTTGCAGCAGGGCCCAGAGGCTACGGAAATGCCCAAGACCCAAAGGAAGCCAGGCCTTCTGGGGTGAGATGTGCCCCGGCCAAAGGTGGCTTCCAGTTTGAGGGTGAGACGTGAGGTGTGCAGGGGCACCAGGTGGTTCAAGGAGGCAGCAGTGGCAGGTGAGGCTAGAGGTGGCTGGTGGGCAGGCTAGTCCTAGGGAGATAAACCAAGAAGTGGGAGTGAGTTGAGAGGGCCTGGGGGAGTGGGGTGGTGAATGCGGCAGGCGTGAGTCGGGGAGAGATGGGACAGGCAGCAGGGCCCACTCGTCCACTCACCCACTCGTCCTCGTCCACACCTTCGAAGGAGTCCTGTGGGAGCGGGTCCACCCGGTTCCCCAGCTTTGCCACCATGGCACTCAGCAGCTGAGAGAGGGGACGGGAGAAGAGGTGGGAAGGGAACAGGGCTTCTGACCTCAAGAATGTCAGATCCCAAGGCTGGAACCCCAAGGTTCAAAGTTGTGGGAGAATCATTTTCATTAGAGCCCTGACAAAGTTGATGGTTTTCATTGAAAAAGATACCTTGACAGAGACGGGGGAGCCAGAGACAGACAGACTCTAACACGGAACATAAGAGTCACAGGGCAGCTGTCTCCACATATTGCCTCAGATGCTCAGATATGCACCAGGGTCCCCAGCGCACTTGGGTCTGGTTGGGTTGGGCCAGGCTAGGGTGAGGCCTCTTTCCACCCTTCCCTGGCTTCCTGAGCCCTGTGCCCTGGGGGCGGCAGCAGTCAGCTTCAGGGCTTTGGAAGGTCTTCCCTGTCCAACTGACAAGTGGGTGACACTCGCTCCTCGCCCAATCTGGGTTGGACTAGAGAACTGAAGGGCAGTCACCAGGAGTAGCCAGGACCCTGTGACCCCAGCGGCCAGCCCTCTTCCATGCCTACCTCTTCCTTCTTCTGCTGGTCCGACTTCTCTTCCAGGTAGAGTGCTGAGGATGGGGCCCGCCGGGTTGGGCCTTCACGGGGGGCCTGGCTCACTGGGGTGGGGCAGCAACAAGCATCAGGCAGCAGAGAGCCCCTTTGGTGGGGCCTCCTGGCCTAACCACTTGGTACCAGCCCCTGGGGGATTCCATGGCAGAGAGTCCAGAGGTGGCGCTTCGGTTCACAAGGCCTGCCCTCGGCACCAGGCTGTGTGCACGTGTGCATGTGTGTTGGGGGTGGAGGGCTTGTGATGAAAACACAGATCCTGGGCCCTGCCCTCCAGGGGCTCAGAGACCAAGTCCGAAGAGCAACCACCCCATCCCTGGGAGCACTAGAGGTTTCTGATTGCCAGCAGGGATGGAGGTTCGGACTTGAGCCTTCTGCCCCTTTCTCCAACCCCCACCCACTCCCCTGCTTCCTACCTGCCCCCCCAGCCCAGTCCCTCATCCTACCTGGGGTCATGTCAGGGGGCTGCAGGCTAAGAAGCCGGGGCTGCCCGTTAGCACCTCCCAGCCAGGCCTCAGCGCTGAGCACCGGCTCCCAGCTCACGGCCGTGTCTGGGAACACGTCATCCTGGAAGAATTCTTTCTGCAGGGAGGGAGTAAGGGGCTGCCCTGAGGTACTGACCAGAGGCCTAGGGCACACAGGCATCCATTGGGAGGGGGGCATGGCAAGACCCAGGACCCCAATCTGAGGTTTCTGCAAGTTTCAGAACATCAGCAGAGTAAGGGGAACAGGTGCCCCAAAGAGCAGTGAGTGGGGCAGTTTGGTGACAAGACCAGTCAGGCCCCAAAGCCTCTGACAGGGGCTAGGCAGGGGGTGCTGGGCGTTGGCATGCTGGGCCCCCAACCTCACCTTGATTCGGGGCAGCCGGAAGGTGACAGGCTCCAGGGAGGTCTGGCGAAGTCGCAGGCATCGGGCAAACTCCACCTCCCGCACGTCACACTCCGTCTTGGGCAGGAGAATGAAGCCCTGGGGCAGCAAGGGAGTCGAGCTGGGGCTGGAGTCCAGAGCTCATACTGAGCACCTGGGCCCCCTCACTTAGGACCATCAGGACCAAGGCCTATCCCTGGAGAGTAGTGTGATATTTAACAACTAGCTCTTTGGAGGGAAAATGCCCCGGTTTGTAGCGTTTGCCTATTTCCACAGTGTGAAAACTCCCACCATGTCAATTTCACACTACTAACATGACTGGGTGAATGCAGATTTGGGAAGAGATGTGCAGTAGCAGCCCATGATACAGTATTTCTGCCAGACAGCGCCCACAGATGTAAAT